ATAACCGACTTTAGATTTTTTTGACCTACTTCTTTGTGAATAATTATTTATGTACCAATTTGGGTTATTTTCCTATTTTGTATTTAACAAATTCTTGTGTGTGATATATTGAGCACAAGGGTCATATTATTGATGCTATGCGTTAGTCCACTCTGCTGTCTATTGCCTGCTGCGGTTCGGTTTGCTGTATGAGTGTATTTATTGTAACGCTATGTAAATAGTCTTGTAGCATATACTGGTCAGTGCATAGTCGAACAAAAACTGACTTCAAAGATTTCAAGAGCAGTGATATACTAGTACCTTTAGGGTTTTATCAGGGACGCCTTTTTACCTGTATGATGAAGTACCTAAAGTATTAATATGGAGACAAATAAATATTTTTACAAACACCACCTGGCAACACAGATGCTCGTAATATTTTAGGTTGTTGTAATTTTATACAAGAAACTTATGATATTGTTACTCGTATCTGTTGTAATAGAACTATGCTAGACGCTACTTCGATACTCGGTCGAATTCAAGTGACAATTAACATAGTTCGGTGGCTAAAATCATAGTTTTCTCTCCAATGACACAGTTATGGTAAGCCTGTAAATCTCTTAATTTCATTAATATTGTCGCGTATCGTGTTCTCTCGGTAAGTTATTGAACTTAGTTCAGTGGACACCCGTAATGCGCGAATCTGATTGGCTGGCAATGTCTTGAGATATTATGAATGGCGAATGATTTAATTTGACCCACGTTTGCTGACTCAATCCATGTTCCAAATTGTTTCGTGACATTTATGTAGTATTGTGTTTAATGTTGATAAATGTACCCGCCTTTTTGTAAAAAAAAAAACATGCTATGTTTAGCATAGAAGTTAAACTAACACGTTCAGTACTAAGTCAATCGAGCGCTCTAATTCTGATCTCACATGTTCGCATATGTTTTGACAAACAGTGCATGTACACCATGATAGAGAGAACTGTCGGCTTGCTTTTACAAGTAGTTCAGTACATCCCCCCAATTATACGAGGTAAGGATGTCATCATGTGTACCGATGTAATTACAGCAACTATCAATTCAATTGTTTAACTGTTCAACTTCCTCAATATATGTCCATGCTCTCGTGTTTTCTTTCGAAATAAGTATTCTGTAAAGCGATGATGTTATCAAGTCGAATCACATGCACAGTAGCTAGAGTGGTGTACAGCTCAGACGTGCATGGGTTAAAAATAGGCCCCGATTATATCGATACTTTATGCGACACCATCACATTTGAGAGCTGGGAAATAGTATTGAGGTCAGTAGTATTTTGCTACAAACGGTGCTGTTGACATCTGATGAAAAACTGCTTGTTGAAATGAGTGATATAACGCATGCGCAATGTAGATTATCTTATCCACCTCCATTTTGGTTTTGTGAAAGTGAATTATATTAGTGTGCATGGCGTCGGTATTTCATTTAAATGTAGAAATGTTTAAAGGGCAGCTGTCGTCATGTAAACAATGCGTTGTACACGTTGATATGGGACCATATCGCGGCGTTCACCGCCCATTAAATGTCTGCGAAACTAAATCAAACCCCGTTTTGTGGAAAGTGTCTCTGTTAAGGAGAAAATCGTCAATCTTGATACAAGATATGCAAAATGTGACGTGAAAGTTCCATCAAATCGACGATGCTATATCACTGCATCTGGTAAACATCATCATTATGCTTATTTTAACATTCCTCAAAACCCATATTAGACGCTTGTTATCAGACCGGTTGATATTGACCCATATATTGAAGGTCACACATCCGGGTACGTCATTCTGTTGCATAACTTTATAAATACTAAATTTATTTCCACGAAGGGCGTTTTCTTGCATCGTCTTGGACACTGTGTAGTATTTACACCAACGAGAATAACATGAAACCATATCTCTCTGTTCGTGGATAACCTCATTTGGCGTATTTTTAACGATATATGATATATGTGACATACAATCGCTTGAGAGTACGCATACCAATTTGTAATTTAACTGCGGTTAGTCAAGCATATCATCGGATGTACTTTTTCCACGTTTCAATTAAATTTTGAGCTAATGTGCTGAGAAACTGAGGGTCATCGTTGTCTTCAGCATCGGCGATTTTCCCGAACAACTATTTCAGTAAATTTCGGCAATTTTCCTTCCCTAAATGGCTGAACTGTAAGTCGTGTATGTATACAGACTGATAAGCGAATGGTGGTGTACAGCGTCACAATGGTTGAATACTCTCTATGCCCGGCAGGCTGGTAACGAAAGCAGTTATTTCTCATTCTTGTCGCCAAATAAACTAGCATTTCTCAAAACAAAATACGTATGTTCCTGTCTGATCTTACGTCTTATGGGGATCTAAGATCGTTCATACACATGCATCTGACTTGCCCGTCGTCATATTTCTCGATTCCGTCAGCGGCCAAAGGTCATTGGGCCGGCGCTGTTCAGAATCACTTCGCAGCTGGATCAGCTAGAGCATCTCGTTGGAGACAGACAGTGACAGATTTTAGTTCCCCGCTCCCGGATTTACCGATGTTGTGTGGTTTCGTGGTTCCTTTCCGGTTTAAAATGGTCAGTATATAAATTCATCGTATTTAATTTAATACTTGGAAATGATCAAACATAGTGTGTCAGCTGAACGGACTTAGCTCAGGTCTCCCTCACTTCGTGATGATAGTCATTATAACGTACCTATTGTAGGCGTTAAATCAAGTGTCGTATTCTCCGTCTTTTCTTGGATAATTTTTTATCTCCGTTATATTTCACTCCATCATTTAGAGTGTTGTTATAAAGCTTTTCTCGCGTGACCTTGCTTTAAAACGGATGCCGTACCGCTCTGCAGTAATTGCCTTCCTCTATTTACAGCCGAGCTCCGTATTGTCTCTCATATAATTTTCGATTATATTATAATATAAATGTGCGTACTCATTCACGGTGACCCCTTTTACTGCCAGACATTTCTCATAATCTTTAGTTGTTTCTGCATATACTTATATCTATTCTTGGTTTGATATCGCCATGTTTGTGCTTGTATTTGATATGCAAACCGGCATTTTCGGTGCTTTCTTTCATGTTGACCCTTTTTCACCATCGTTCTTAATAGTCAATGACGCCATGACCTTTACGTTTCTGTCGATACAGAATTTGTTAGCTAAAAATGATAAGGATATAAAATGTATAGCTTGAATTCAATCTGAATCGTAATTGTCAGTTACTGATGGCGCAAAATCGGTGTTGGACAAGTGACGTATTTTGAACGCCGACTTGCTTCATCGGCAGTAATTAATGTCACCATTAAATATATCAATTATCATTCGCATTTTTATGTCTAGGTTTTATAGTAATTGTAATTCACATGCTGAGACGTTCGGCGACCTCTGACCCCACACTTAAGTCATTCAAAGACTCTTTACTTGTACCAATATAAATTGGAGGAAATATTTGTTTTAACGTATTTCAGACCGGAAGTCAACCGTTGATAGCCTAATTGAATATTAATATAATTATATGCGAGTCGTGCTTAACTACCAATTGTTATACGTTATATAGCGCTTGTCACTCGTTACCACTTCATTAATATCACCCTATTATTTGATTTACGCTGACGTGAATTGAAGAACAGCAATTGTAAGTGCATAATTGCGATAGTTTACGCATGCGCGAATCTGTACAGTCTTTTGTTCATGAATCGCGAAACTATTGTAGTTTTGACTGAATAATACGTTAAATGTAACAACAACATTCAATTATCTAATATGTATAATATTATATATATATATGTTTCCAGGAACATCGCAATTGATTGAAAGTGCTAGCCTCGAAGCATTTGTGTAGAGTACGGCAAGCTGTCTCACTATAACGATCCATCTCACATATGTGTATCAACTAGTGTCACATATATAAGTAGAATATATCACGTGACCAGACCAGTCGTTGACAGCACCTATACTGTCCTAACCCTAAATCCAATATATTACCTTTAAATAAGTCATGTGTTACCATGTCAACATATCATTACATTTTTTTAAAACTGATCATACGAGGGAAATTTGTCAAGAAAAAACAAATTATATGTAACCATTGCGATTATTTCACTAGAATTTAAGGCTTTCTGTTTATTTGGATAATCTCAGTGATTTGGTTTTTGAGTGGATATCATTGCTGATGTTACAAACTTCATGTGTGACCCAGTGTCTATTTTCTTGGCTCATTAAATTCACTAACACCCGTGTTTGTATGGTGTCTATACATTACGTTTATCCTAGTTTAATTGTATCAAAGACAGTCAGTTTCAACTTCTGTCACCAGGGGCGACCTATATATAATATATCAGAATATATAAATATTCATCGCAGTCAGAAGGGAATAATTCCCCCAACATTTGATAAAAAAAACAATATAAAGTTATTTTGTTAGTGAGCTACTTCGAACTTTGACCTGCTATGACGTCAATGACATTCACTCCTATCTAAATAGTTATTGTGTGAGATTCTTCCAAGGGGACGTACATAAATAAAAACAGAAATGCATACAGAAGATAAATATATGCATCATTCGTATATATTCGTATACATTCGTATATTTTCGTATACATTCGTATATATATTCGTATATATATATATATGTTCATTCGTATTCGTATTTATTCGTATATATTCGTATATATATATTCGTATACATTCGTATATATTCGTATACATTCGTATATATTCGTATATGTATTCATTCATATATCATTCATCAATCATACGCATGCGGCTCTTATGCAAAGTGATGATGGGTCGCTAAATCCACATTTACACATTGTGCTTAATTAGAAAAATGACTGTACTGTTACTAAAAGTGAAGATATAGCAAGTAAATAGAAACATACATGCATACAAAAATAATACATGATTGTATATAAAATATGCTTATGTATTACAAATACGAGAGCTATCTTTGATTTTGATAATGGTATCATTTCTAATATTGTATTGTTTATTTCATAGCAAATGAGTGCACTGTCTACCCTGCAAGGGAATGCAGGGAGTAGAATGAAGAGGGATCGCCAAAATACTCAAAGTACACCGCCTCCGTCACCTGCTGAAGATAAAAATAAAAGTTCAAAAGCTTGCTGTTTTTGCTGGTGTTGCTGTTGCAGCTGTAGCTGGTAGGCACATATTCTCTTATACACTGACCTCGAAGAACCAATCTAAGGTATTAGTCGCGCTCAATCAGGCGTTCGTCAAACAGGGTACCACCATATTCACTGCTGTGTCTAAATAGTTGAGAACAGTATTTACATATGCACATTTGTTTTTATCAACGTATAGTTCTTCAAACACACTCCTTTTCTTCACCATGGTCTATATATCTTTGCACATTTTCGCATGTATATTCATCGTTCAGTTGAACTGGCCTACATTGCATACATTTGTGGTGTTTTTTTTTTTTGGTTGTCCCACAAGATTGGGCTGTTGTTACGTGCGCTAATTCGAATTATAACTAATGTAATGCAATGTGCTTGGATGTGTACAGCACATATATTCAACATGACATACCATGTTACAAACCACTGTGTCAGATAATACTTTGGACAGATCACATTCTACCTGACAATATTGTCTTAGAACGTGTTGACCTGTCTCATGCCCTTGCACCAAACAATAACCATGTACTGTCTTTGTACATGCTAACCTTTGTCCCCTGTCGTGTGCCAGACATTAACCAACCTTCTGTCATATCACACTATGCCAGCAATAACCATATACCATCTTAGTGTCTGCCAACGTCTGCCATATCACACTATGCCAGCAATAATCTATTTTGGTAAAATCGCTACAGTCGTCATATATTAAATCTAATTCAAATGTTGTGTATTTTACATACCCATATTAATATGTAAAAAAATTCAATTCTGTAAACTATCAAACCAAATGTTTATTAGACGATTTGGTAGTTAGAATAAGCTTGTGGTTAAATTAAAAATAACACTGTTACTCAGATGTCATCGGTGATACTTATCTATGGCGGGTGTCACAAGTATTGCAGAAACATTTCATGTATACCACATGTCCATATGTTTTTCTCTTTCACTATACAGTATAATGCCAGTTGCTTTGTTTTGTTTTTGTCATTTTACTATACAATTTTTTGCTAACAGATCTGAAGTTGAGTATATTTTCACTCTATTGGTATAAACAAAAACAATAGGCACCACATAAATAATGTCCATACATTTGAGTCTAAGACAAGCGCCACGATGCCAACTATGATTGCTATATTTGTATCTCCCAAGAAAATAATCTGCTTTGTAATTGAAAGAATTCCTTAATCATAATTTCCATTCTTATTAGTTTACATAGAAGAAAATTACCAAGTATAAAAATTGCATCTATATTTTGATCTTCAGTATATATTAAAGTGCATAGCATATTTGTTAGATCATGTTCAACTGCTAAATTAATAAAATCTGACATAATCCAATGACAATTTGAAAAATAATATTTATAAATGCGCGTGTGCTTGCCAAAGGACGATAACCACACAAAAGTTCACCACAGGGCGTATGCATTTATGACATTAAATTAACCTTAAAAGTATCTCCATCTGTGTAGCAATTCATTGATAATGTGAGTTATTCAGAGTTCTATGGTTGATTTATGCAATACTAAACCAAAATATTCACATGATAACATTCCATACGCCATAGACACATACAAAACTCTAGTAAGCAGGCATTACATGTAAACAATCACTAGACAGATATTTGTTTTAACATGTCTAACTGTGTACATTCTATTAGCAAAAATATAGGTTATATATAGATTGATTAAAAAAATAACCATTTTCTGGGAAAATGCACGATTTTTTTATTATCATAAACAAAGTTTAATATATATATTGGTACTTATATGCATTCATAAGCCAGATATGGACACACTGTTACTTAAACAATATAGGTCATTTGATGATCCAATTCAAGATGGCCGAATGGCGGCCATTTACTTTTAAAATGTATAGCCTCTCTTCTCAGACTATGATTTCCCCTAAATCTAAGCCCTGCAATGGACTGTGTTTCAAGATTTATTATGAAACATTTAGTTGTTTAGTTTATAAGTGGGGCTATACTAAATCATTACTTGGCTATGATAATAGATCTTAGGCCAACAGATGTATACTAAACTGAAAGTCCAGTGAATCCACCCAAAAACATTCCTGTTCCTACCCAATGTTTTTTTGTGATAAATTAACATATGAAACACAGTTCAACATAAATTGCACCATAGTTCACAAACACATTTTCGTTATGTTTTAAAATGATCGAATGACAATAACATTGGTTTAATAAGTTTCTTTTCAATTATTTGGTACAAATGCAAAACATAATGGCCAATTTGCTTTTGTTTTCTGAAAATTCAATTCAGCCAAATACAAACATGGACTGTGCCGATGACAGTAACTTTTTTTCGCATAAATAAATTTACATAAACCGTTCCATGTTTTTGATGTTGACTCCAATTTCCGAAATTAATACACATGGCAAGGTAATTTGTGTAGCATGTATTCACAAATTATTCCTCTCTAACCAAAGTCATTCGGTATGTGATATGAAATTAAGTGAATGTTCTGCAACGGGTTCTCAACATTTCCAGATGTTTTTTTCGATAAACGATTATTAACAGTGAACATGGCTACTCTAACGTGTTCACGTTTCATTTGTTTCCTTCAAGGCAAACTCGTAAATAAGAGCATGGTAAGAATCATTCGCAGTTAGTTAGAAAGCTGCTAACCACGGGACATTTTTCCGTTTTAATTAGTGTTCCAATTACGAGCGATCGACGGGCGGGAATGGGGTACTACTGAAGACGTTCCAATTACGCGCGATCGATCGACGGGCGGGAATGGGGTACTATTTAAGACACGTTCTTTCGCGGCGGCCATTTATGTCGAAAATATATCGTGACCTAATAATATCGTAATATAGAACAAACATTAGAACCAATAATTTAACAAGGTATATACGCTACAAAATAAAGTACGAGTCAGTTATCTCAAATACATGTATCTCAATCAGTTACCGATACAATCGACGCGTGTCAATATTGATAGACTGATAAGTCTGAATGAATGAACATGAGAAGACGACCTTATTTGTTAAATGCGTGTGGCGCTAATCATAACTTACCAAATCCTGTTTGATAAAGACGACGTTATATTTCGATGCTGTCCGGGTACGATCTCGTGTTGCGTCTGTCACCAGAAAAAACAACATAATTTATCTTTCATTTATCATTCATTTTATTTGCATTTGTGTGAACCGTACATCTATTCCTAGGTTTTGTCTACGTCATCACGTAGTCAGATTATTTACGTCATATTCCTTTGTTTTATCGTCACTGAAATAGAATTGTGTAAAACGTTTTTCGCTGCAATTAGTAATAATAATAATACGTGGCGGTCGATGCGATCATTGTATACATTCCTGTATACTCTATTATAATTACATGTAGAACTGTTGTATGACATGTATAGTTTATATACGGTTGTCAACCATTCACGTGAAATATCATATCGTATTTGAACGGTCGGATGGTGACAATGGAAATGTGACGACGGCATACATTTTGTGATTGTCTTATTGTGATGGTATCTGTGTGTTTCATGGACATAAATAAACTGGACAAGCGTCTCACTGGTGAACATTTACCTAAAACGCAATCTAATTTGCAATTTAGAGATTCGCAGTGTTTGACTGTCTATAATGTATTCTCGGGTGGACATCCGGGCATTTTCACCACCTGGCAATTATCACGGTGAAATCAAAGGCCGAAAACTATCAGAACATGGTACAGTCGTGCGCGTCTTAGTAACGTATCTCCGCCCAATGATTCAGTGTTATGGGGAACAATATGGACGATACATTGGATTATATAGGCTGTGTTTCCTGCAGGGCGCTGCTGCTAAATTAAATCATATGCCACTCATTAAATATTGAGGTTATATGGATACACAGTAAGGCATGTGATATGTGCACTCATTTATATTTTAATTTGCATTCTGTTATTTTTAACCTCAATATATAGGTTTTCAAATCTTATTGTGTGTGTTTTCGTTTGTGAACACCTTACTGAATATATTATCCTTCAGTTGATCCATTACTAGATATAATGGGATTGGCAAACCGAAAATATATGGGCAGAGACCACCGGGGCGTGGTCAATTATTATTAAGTGATTACCGCTTATACAAGCAAATGGCATGTTCGGAATGTGTTATGTACACGGGAATCGGGCACGCACGTACGGGCCTTATTCGTCATAAATATCTGTATACACAAATCCTTGGGGAATATTCTAACAATAGGTGTCGTGATGTATTTGCATAATTAATTTATACACGTCTACGCAATTAAAGGTCATGTATATCATAGGGCCAAGGCAATATCGTCGCCATGGAAACAGTAATGTCATCTTTTTGGCATATCATTTCATTCTTTTTCTCCAATAATGATTTATCAAAAAATGTGCGGTGACCGAGTACATTAATTTAATGAGCTGCATTGCAGGCCGTGATATAATTTATTAGAATAACACCCTCCCCATTCCCTCGTTGACATCCTCCCAATTCCTTCGTTGACATCCTCCTCATTCCCTCGTTTTACATCCTCCCTATTCCCTCGTTTATATCCTCCCCATTCCCTCGTTGATACCTCCCAAATCCCTCGTTGTAGCAATATAAGCCATGTGTTGTTACTTCTAGGTTATGACGGCATCCGCGCCCACTCTTTGTTCTTAAAATACACGAATCGTGTATAGTGTACTTAGCAAGAAAAACATGTTCAATTCTGTTCGACTGATTCTGCTCACGACACTATTCACTATTGGTATTTTACAAAATAATTTGTTTGTTCGCCTAACAACACCAGCATCTCCAACCCACCTACCCAGTGCCACATACAACTGACCTACATCTACCAGTGCTACCGCTTAGTCACTCAAAACCCAGCTACACCTACCAAATGCTACTGCCCAACCACCAGCCGATACCTTCCCAGTGCCATCACCAAATCACCTGCAATGCAACCAACACATATTCAGTGCCACTGCCAAACCACGACCATCGTCACATCTGCCATATTTCAGGTAAATATGTAATAATTCGACTGAG